ACAGAGAGAGACTCGGGGGAGACTCTGAGACAACCAGAGAAAAGAAAAGCCTTAGATCCAGAGAGGCCTTCGGGGAGGGAGACAGACGGCGAGAGACAGGGCCAGGCCGCGGGGGGAGCCCAGGGCCGGCCGGGGAGCGGCCGTCTCCCAAGGCACAGCGGCTGTGCGCATCCGCCCCCTCGGCGCCGTGAGCCGCTTCCTCGTGCCATTCAGCGTTTCGCCTCCGGCTCAGACAGGCTGTTGGCCTCGCCCGCTCACTGCGGTGGGTGTCCTCCCAGGTCCCTTCCGGGTGAGCACCCTTCACCACAACGCAGGCCTCGCACTCTGATCACACAGGCCGAGCCCTGCGCTCCGGCGGCCCCTGCCTTCCCAGGTGGTTCAGACTCACTTCACAGAGACCCTGGGTTTGCCTTCGAGCCGGGCTCTCCTCCACATTACCAACTTCACAGAAACAAACCTCCCGTGAGGCTGTTTCCAGACACCAGAGCTCGCAGTGGATATGGGGCTGCACTCTCCCAGTCCCGGGGGCCTCTTCCTACCAAGGCCCCAGTAAATGACGGTCCTCAAACAGAGGCAGAGGGACGCCCCACAAAATGCAGGTTCCCAGGTCCTGCCAGCTCCGTGGGCTCGGGGAGGGCCCCTCAATTACATCCTCAGCGTGTCCCTAAGGTGCCTGGGGCGCACAGGCCTCGGGTGGGGAAGGACGAGAACGAGCGCCCAGCGAGGGGATCCTGATCCCACCAGAATGCAGCCACGGCGGGGAGAGCAAACAGGTAGGCGCCTGCCTCCCTGGTACTCTCCTATCCCGTGCCTGGGACGCCCCACGAGGCGCCAGACGTGCTCTGCTGGACTGTCCAGCGTGTCTCCCGTACAGTCGACCAGGGCTCCGCGAGCCCAACAACGCAGAGCCCAAGCCACGCGCCTGAGAGCCAAGTGTTACGAGCAGACGCCCCACCAGCACTCATCGTTCTCGGCCACTTACAACCGCAGCGCTCAGTGCTGGGACAGGGGCCATCTGACTCGCAGACCTCACGTACTCACACTCCGGGCCTCCACAGAAAAGACCGGCTGCCCCAGTCGGCGGTGACTCTCAGGGTTCTCACCAGTACGCACGATGAGAGCCCTGACCCTGGGCAGACCTCCTGGGCTCAGCCTGGCTCTGGCTCTGACCCTTGGCCGCGGTGCTTACCTCCCTGCCCTTCGTGTCCTCATCGAGAAAACGGGGGCCAGTCAGGAAGAACATCCAGACGCCCCAGCCCACCAGCTCAGGCTGCAGACACTCGTGAGGTGGGGGTACGCTGCAGCCACAGCACCCGAGGGCTTGGGAGGCCGAGCCCAGTGAACCTCTCAGTCCTTCCAAAAACAGAAGCTGGCTGGCGTCCTCTTCCTGGGAAGAAAAGGGGAGGGTGGAGTTGAAGGGGCCAAGCCAGTAGCCTTCCAGACCCACTCAGACCCTCTGCCTCACTTCCCCCGCCTTGAAGCGTGGTCAGCGCAGTGCAGGCCAGCAACGGCTCTCCTGCCCGGTCACCACCAGGTGCTCACTCGGAATCCAGTCTCTCCCCACAGGCTGAACGGTGTACCAGGCGAGACAGGCCCCAGGGACCAGCTGCAGGTTGCTGACCAGCCCTGGCACCGAACAGGAGCGTTTAGGGGTGTCACTGCCTCGCTCAGTCCACTGGTGTTCACTGAGCACCTACTGTGTGCCAGGTGCCCCGCAGGTGCTGGGGACAGAGCAGGAGCAAGCCGAGTGACCACGGGCATCAGTGAGCTGTGGGGAAGCGTCAGGCCGGCTCCATCCTTGAGTCTCCCATCACCGCCCCTGCCTCTCCTGCGGTTCCCAGCCTTTTCCTCCAGGGCCTGGGGTTCAGCTGCCGAGCCCCAGGCTGCCAGGAAGCTCAGGCCCACACCTGACGCTCCGGAGAGGTTCCTGGCTGGGAGAGCAGCCCAGGGCCTGGTGTGGGACACACAACCCCCTCCCAGCCTGGCCACCGAGGGCACAACCCTGGGGAGGCCTGGCCTCCCTTGGGCCTGTGGTTTGTCACAGGAGGACGTGGCCCCAGTTCTGGGACCTCCCGGGTGAGGGCCAGTCAGGGGAGACTCCGTGTTCTGCAGAGACGGCTGTGCTGGCCCCCCACCCTCCCAGGCCACGGGGTAGGGGCTGGACAGAGAAACAGCCTCTGATCTCACCCAGTGACCTGCACTTGGCATCACATGGTGAGAAATGACTTCACTGTGAGGCCTCTGACTTCAGAGTTCATTTCCCCAACCCCCACCCAGCCCCCAATAGGGTGTTCAGGGTGAAGACGTGGTCGGGGGAAGCTGGGTCCACACTTTCATGTGCCTCCATGGCTTAGTCCTGGGGCTGAGAAGCAAATCCAGCAGCTCCTCCTGACACAGGCCCTCTCGACCTGTGGCCACAGCAGGCTCCGCTGCACACGGGTCCTGACAAGGAGGGGTCGGGCCCAGAGCTCCCAGGGCCACACAGGCCTGGGTGGCCATGCCCCCAGCAGGTCCGGGCTCCAATCAGGAGGCCGTGATAAGCAGGACAAGCAGCCACCCTCGAGCCAGGGCGAGTGACCCTTGTCCCGAGGCCTGTCACAGCAAGGACGAAGACACTGTCCTCGGCCACAGTATGGCGGGCCTGCTGTGCCTTGTCCTGCTCAGCACCTCCCTGGCCAGCCTGCTGCTACCGGGGGGCAGTGGTACGTACCCCTCACCCTGCATGCTACAGGGGTGGCCCTGGGAGGAGGATGGGGGGGGCGACGCCCTCGCACCCCCACAGTGTGCAGAGTGGGTGCCCATCCCGGTGGACGGCTGGCATAAGCCGCTGGACTTGGCGGTTTTGCCCAAGGATAGCTTAGGGCCAGGTGTGCCTCCCTGTGGGGGGAGGGTCAGGCGGGAGATCAGAGATCACAAAGACAGACAGAAACGTGGACAGAGAAAGACAGAGAAACAGCGACAGAGAGAGAGAGAGACAAGAACAGAAACGGAGGTGGGGGAGAGAGAGGGACCGAGGGGAGAGAGAGTCAGAGAGACGGCCCACCTCCTCTGCCAAAGTGAGCCGGGGCCGGGGGGAGGGGTGTCACAGGCAGAGAGGTGCCTCCAAGGCAGGGGAGGGGACAAGAGCCAGTGCCATCACCCTCAGGCTGTCTTGGCAAGGGGAAGGGGCTGCCCAATTCGAGGCTGGACAGATGGGGGCCTCTGGGCTTTCCAGGACCCAGGCCTGTCCAAGAATAGAGGTCAGGAAGGGGAGAAGCAGAGCAAAGCCCAGACAGAGAGCGCAGCGGCCACCTGGGGCCTGCGTGCGTCTGGGTGAAAGGGAGTCAGGAGACCCAGGCACATGAGAGAAGGAAAAGGTGAAGAATGAAAAAGAGGAAGAGAAAAAAGCAGGGGCAGAGGGTGGGGACATGTAGGGGAAGGATTGGTCTCCCCACTCCCCAGAGGGTGGGTTGTAGGTCAAAGTCAGCAGAGCGGATGTGTGGAGCCATGGGAGAACGGCCCACAGATAACAAGTCTGAGCCTGGCTTTGCTGGGAAAACACAGATGATGCTAAAAGAAATACGGGATTTGGAAGGGAAGAGAATATGAGGTAGGAATGAAGCTAAGCTTTACTGAGCATGTAGCGTGTACCACCTGAACACTGGGGGTTTCATACACCCTTTAAAACAACTCTTGAGAAGGTTAGGTGTCATAATTTCCATCTGCCAGTATTCAGCAGTAGATGACCCAGATATATATGCCACTCGAGACTGCTTGATTCTGCAGTCCTGTTTCTCAGTTTCAGACGTGGGGAGTTTGCAGTTCTCAGATGAGGGGAAACATTCATCGTGGTGAGAGGTGAAAACAGAGTTCAAGGTGAAAGCTGGGACTAGGAATATCAGCTTGGACAATCATCTTTTTCATGGTCAGACTCTAAATTTTTTAGCATAAAAAAGGCAGAGATGGGCCAGGAAAAGAATCCAAGGGCCTCCCGACAACAATGTAAAGAGGAAGAGGAGTGGGAGAGAGACAGAGAAGACTCTGGCAGAGCAGTGTAGACGACTCAGCCAGATACATACCGTAGGGTAGACCCAGAGATTCTCTGACCCAAGACATTTTAATTGACAGGTTGTGACTCCTTTGTGAGTCATGCAATCAATTCAGTGGGTTTTTTATTTTAATGAAATAAAACAGAATCAGGGAGTTAATTTTTCAACAAATACTATTTTCTAAAAATCCAGTATCTTTTGAAACTTTTTATTATGCTTATGTGCGTCCTGGGACTTGATTTAAATCCTACTTTTTATTGTAGATCGTGCAAAACTCCATCACAACTACTCACTTACCTTAGAGCTGAGACCTTGAAGGGCAGGTGGGGTTCAGGGTGAGGGGTGATGGTAGAGGGGTCGAGCCTGAGCCACAGGACAGAGGGCGTGGCCCGGAGAGGTGACAGGGAGCTGGAAACACTCAGAGCTCCAGAGAGAGGGTTTGGGCCGCCAGCGCGGAGCTGGGTGTGAACGTGCGGGGTCAGTGGCTCGCTGGCAGGACGCGCGGGGTCCAGAACAGGTGTCCCACGTGTAACTCACGGAGGCGTCGCGAGCCAGGCGAGTGGCCTTCCGCGGCCGGGCTGCGCCAGCAGCGGGCAGGGCAGGTAACCCTGAGCCGCGTCCTTCCGTCCCCAGTGTTCCTGGACCGGGACCGCGCCCACACAGTCCTGCAGAGGGTCCGGAGGGCGAACTCGTTCCTGGAGGAGATGAAGAAGGGAAACCTGGAAAGAGAGTGCGTAGAAGAGACTTGCAACTACGAGGAGGCCCGCGAAGCCTTCGAGGACACGGAGAAGACGGTAAGGGTCCCCGCCCCGCCCCAGCCTCCCGGGGCGGGCGGCCAGGAGCCAGTCACGGGGCTGCGGGGACTTCTCAGGTTCTGTCAGGTCAGCGTGAGGGCACAAAACGTTTATCTAAGTCGTACTCTCAGCCTGGGCCGGCGCCTCCCAGGCCGGGCCGCGCACAGAGACACTTGGCCCAGGAACCCGGCCCAGGGTCCTCAGCC